AAAATAGGAATTGTGTATTGTTCCCATTGAATTATGCTACTTCTAATGGTCCAAGTAGTTTTCGGGTCGAGTCATTTCATTAAAGTGTCGATATTTAATTCAATCATTTGGTCGATATTGACTGAAAATTTCCAATGAGCAACATTATCATCTGGGATCTATTCGGGTATCAAAACTCAACAGTCTACCTTCTGCCTTTTTTTATGTACCCTTCTGATGGAAATACCAATGTCCATACACATAATTATAAAAAAATAAAACCTTTTATTTATTTATTTTTTATGTTACAAATTGGATTTTCACCTTTTTTTATACAAGTGGAATCCTCGTGAGAGTGAATTCATATGCTTGTGTTTTTAATGACTTTAAAGATTATCTTCCTCCTATTTATTGGCTACTTTCTTTACAGGATCTAGAAGAGCTCAATCCGGCTCTTGTAGATGAAGGATTGCCTCTTAAATTATTCTAGTGAAAATGATAAGATTATAGAATAGCCTCTGTTACTCAAAAAGTATTAAATATGCCACTTGAGGATAACGATGATTTAGATGGTAGTTGTGTTTTATTTATAATTTTCCCAAAGAAGTCTTTCAAGCATGATAACTGTAAAAAATTACTTTCTAACAAAGAAAAATAAAATATCGAATGTGATGTATGGATTGCAAAACTCAAGGATGAAGTTGAGTTCAGTTTGAGTATAAAAATTAGGTAGATAGATGTTTTGTTGTTTCAAACTTTAGGAGAATGAAACATTTTTTGAAAATATGAAAATATTGAAAAATACAAATATTATTTGGAATCGAATCGAACTGAACCAAATTGAATTCCAATTCGATTACATGAATAAAGTTGGACTAGACAGTTCCGTGTACAAGATTTTCTGTTATTCTTTGTTGGATTGATTCTTTTTAGAATTGATTGAACCAAATCATGCCTACTCCTAGCTACTATAAATAGGGGTAGACCTTTCAACCTAAAGGTTGGAACCACAGCTTTTACACACTCACTTAGTCATTTTCAGGGGATATACCACTAAATGACCCAAATTCAAAGCCAAAATTCCAAACTAACCCCAAACTAACCCATTTCACTATTCAAACATATAAACTACCTAAAATACCCTTAACATTTCGTAATTCTTTTAA